AAATATTTTAATATATACTTAAGTTTAGGTGTTACATGCGTAAATGCATAAGAATTTAGTGGCATGTATGTAAATATTCCTTTAGATAAACCTCATTAAACATTTAATTAATTATCAAAATCACAAATTATTTTTAAAATAAATTAAAATGTATTAAGTATGAGCACTATAGAAATGATCATAAATAAGAAATTAAGAAAACTAAAATAAAAGTGTTTAAGAGAGTAATGTGGTATAGTTGCAAAAGCCAATCAAAGCGATTTATCAAATCAATATTAAAGTGTAACGTTCATGTTTATCATGCCCATTTCTTCAAGCTTACACTTCTCAAACCAATCACTTTGTTATTAATAATTGCAAGTCTAAAGGATCTCTCTACCTTCATGCATATGTGTTGATAGCAACCGCTTTATTATTTATTTAGGATAAGATATTTAGAGACAAATCATTTGGGTTCCTTGTCATGTTTTTGATGACATGTATTTTGTTAATTATTTTTAAACTTACTCATGATGCAATATGTTACCCTTCGTTAGGCCCCTTGTCAGCTCTGTATTTGATAAGAATTCCCTTTAAATTATCATATAGTATCAACTTCTCAATCAAAACATTATAATACTCAATATCGTCGTCATGATAGATCATTACAATATATACAACAGTTTGATCTTTTCATGCCTTCTGCTGATTTTTTCATATATGATGGTAATTTATAGTATTTATTTTGAATAGTATCCATAATAATTATGAGTGATCAATCAAAAAAGGGCAAGTGCTAAAATATTTAGAAGGAATAATGGTTAACTGTTGATTTATGATAATTATATATTACGATCACATCAATGAATTTTCATGATTAAATAACATAAGAATATAAAATATATTGTTGTTATTTTTGTCGTTAATTTCCCTCTATACAAGTGTATAAGAATGGTTCTTTTGGGAAACTTTGATTTGGATTAATTTATAAACTCCACAACATTAATAAATTTGGTTGTCTTCTTCAGAAGATCACCAATACTTATAAGAGGACTCTTGGGTACTGAGAATTCAAAGTTCATTCACTATAGCTTCAAAATGAAAGTCAATTTAGCAGGAGATTTATCATTTTTAGCCACCTAACATGACATTTGGTTAAAACTCATGTGGCATGTTAGACTATCTTCCTTCTATTTGATGAGAAAGAGAGATTGTAAAGTTCTTCAAAATCTTTTAGATGGAGAGAATTAAACCAATAACATATATAAAAACTTCAGAGAATGCTCGAGGACAAAGAATTGAATCCCCTCCTTTCCATGACATTAAATATGATAGCGAAAATGTTTTACTATATGTTGTACTTCTAATATATGGAATAGTATCGATTATTATCTTTTTACCTTTATGATACATAAGAGAGAGATTGAGCAACCTCAGTTAATAAATAAGCTAAAAAAACAATAACGTTATAGGAAAACCATTAATTGTTAGCAAATTATTCAAAATGAGCACTTAGTTAGTTTTGAGAAATAAAGACAGTGATGATGGAAGTTTTTTCTACGTTGTGCTACAAATGCATCATGGTAATCTATGTACAAGGCTCGAATTTCGCATCTTTGTTATGATTTGATTTGATTTCCATAGTTCACTGCTCTTTTTCTTCCCATGATAAAATAGACAATTCAACATACCGCATCAATTAATATTATTGAAAAATCTTGTTGAGTCTTAATGTTAAAAGAGATTGTAAATTCTAAGAGGAGGTGATGGAAGCTTTACAACAAAAAAGCAAACAAACAAAAACAATAATAATCTAGTCAGATAATCTACTTTCACTATGTCGCATCATAAGAGAACAATCACTTCTAGAGATAATGAGATTCGAATAGGTGCATATGCAATTAATGCAATAGAGTGAAGAATGTCAATTTGCAAAGTCTCTATGTGCTTATAGATCTAATATATCCTTTTTATAATTCACAACAATTTTGTTTAAAGTAATAACTATTGTCGTAAAATGAATGAGACAATAGATCTAACATGAATGAGATAGTAGACCTAACATAAAGAATACAATCCATCACTATGGAGGATATTGTTTGTAATATAAGCTTGTTCTATTTTGCTGGTGAATAAATTCTCCTTTCAATAAATTATATTGTGATTGAGGTTCACTTAATTTTAAAGCTCGCCTTTAGAGTTCTCCCAATAGGGCTTCAAATGACTAGGCTTTATTCAAGTGCCTTCGACTCTTGAGAGGAAATGTACTGTTAAATCATTTGCAGCTTTTACTACAGTAAAAAAAAATTCATTATTAATAATTTTTTTGTATGTTGATTATCATGTGCACAATGTAGATGCCTTAAGACAAAAATTTAAGGATTACACCTACACAAAAATGAGTATTCATACGATCCTTTTTTTTGCCTTGTTTGGTTCTCTTAATTATAATTAAACTATCAAATTTAATATCAATTGTTAGGAAATTTTTTCTTAATAGGATAAAACATTTGGGAAATATTTTATCATTTGGGAGTCGTGTCAACTATATGTTAGTTCGAATAAAACTAGTTATAGATAAGATTGGATTAAGATTAATTCCAAACTTCTTGGAGAAAGGTAGGAGATAGATAAAATTCTGGCTAAACTAAATTAAGAAATTAACTAACAATGATAATATATTGCAATTTCTTGGCAAAGAAATAAAGGATAGATGCATTTGCTCTAATTCAATGTTTAACTATATTATTTAGCGTCAACATCATGAGTTATCAAGTCTTAAAAAAATTATTTGTTGAGCAATAATCATTGTTTTCAATAGGCCAAATTGATGTTGTCCGTGACCTAACATTGAAAGTCACCTTCTTCTTATCATGGAAACCACCAAGAGTGTGTTTAAATCAATGCTCTCTAATAATATTATTATTATTTATATGTCTACGACAAATCTACATCATCCGACACAATTCTCGAGGCATGACACGAATCCCAAAATAATCTTTTGAGACATAAATATTTTTATTTTTTATTAAAAGTCATCTGGTGTTTTTGATTTCAACAAATTTATAATCAAACGAATAAACTCAACACAATGTTAATCCATTAAATCTTTAAATATTGCTCACTGAATAGGACATATTTTGGTATTGTAACCGTCGTTGGCATCTTTCTACATCTTTAATAGCTTTTAACATTGTTTTATATTCCTAACAAATATTTGGCGTGCCTACTGTTCATTCGGTCTGCTCATAATCGCTCGGTCAACTGAACAATCTTTGCCTGATTAAACGGCCTTTAATCGAATGTTGACCTTTTTTAATAGACGATGTTGGTTAAAAAAATATTGCATAGTCATGAGGTGTAAGCTCGGTCGGTCAATATTATTCGGTTGGCTCTATGATCCGATCGATTTCATGGTGAACGTCCGAACATGAGCCCTCCTTAATCAATCTCAGGTCTTCTCGAGATTTGTGTAGACATATTTCTGATATACAAATGATTTTCTTAATTATTTCATAAGCTCTTATTTTGCATCTAAAATAACTACCTTTAATTAAATCGTTTTAGCTAAAATAGTGAAGTAATTTAGAGACCAAATCAAATTAATCATTAAAACAAAATATCTTAATTAATATAATCCTTAGCCCCTTTAATTATATTTTTTTAATGTCATTATGACGCAATTATGATGCTAATTGGATTCCATTGATTTTCTAGTAAAACTGGAAAAATTTACATTCATCCTCACAATTTTTGTGTATTAACATATCTAACACGTTAAGTTTGATATTTTACACTTGCAACACTTTGATATTACAAACTTATGCAGTAAATGTTAGATATAAGTATTGATATTTTTCTTATATGATTTTAAATATTTGAGTGTTATAAATGTAAATATGAAAATTTAGGTGGTGGATATGTAAATACCTAAGACTTGTGTGATTTGCATGTAAATACCCCAATTAAAAAAATATTGTAGATGCTATGCCCATAAATAAAACAAACAACATTTGACTGTTTTTATTTATTTAATTAATTTAACTCTTAATCAATTTATTTGTAGCTATCAATTTTTATGGTCGAAAGGGAAATTGTCCGCCCTGTCACATATCATCATTAAGACACATTAAAATTTATATTATGAATGATAAATTTTGAGTTTAAATATCTTAATCCTTTCTTAATTAGTATATTTTGCAGATTATATTAAGAAAAAAATATTAGGAAAGAATATGATATGAAAAAAATATTTTAAAATTTTTAATTAATTATTATTAATCATACTCATGTTGAAATGATTCTAATTAATGAACTTAAGATTATTTACTTAAATTTTAATTAATCTGATTATTATGATTGTTTCACCTTTTTTTTAATAGTAATAATGAAATATTAAGGGTCCATTTGGGGCGGCTTATTTGGTGCGGTGGCGTTTTGAAAATACACCTGAACTATTTACTATTTGGGTAAACTGCGTTTTGGCAGTTTATGCGTCTTTCAACGTTTTCACACCGCATATATCTAGGTGCGGTGACAGCTTTCAGACAACGGCCTGAATTTTCTAAAAAAATAAAAATTTATAATAGTTACTGCACCAAGTTTATTAACATATTATTTTTAATTAGCTTATCAGCAGATTATTCAATAAACTACAGCTGCCCCAAACAGATCCTAAATTGAACACCAATCTGTGATTTAAAATTTCAAATAAATAAATGGATTAAATATTTTTTTCGCTTCATAAAATATTCTGAAATAATATCATCTGTATTTTTATTTACCAGATTTTATTTCAATATAAATAAATTTATTTTTATTTAATGTTTGAAAAGCGAGTGAATGTTATTTAATTTATTCTTATTTTGTCGCAAAGAAAATAGTAAATAAAAAACTTAGCATTGAATGCGAATTTTATGAAGTGAATTTTTAGTAAGATTATAGTAAGAAGAAATTCGGAGCAGTAAATGAGTAAGCGAACGAATGCGCGCGAGATTGGACTGATTTCGATAAGCAGTATAAATAAATCATTAATTAAAAATAAATATGACATTATAGCATGATTTATACTAATTAAAAAACTTAAATGCAGCATTTATAAATGATACAAATCCTTTTCATAAGAGTGATTTTTTGTGATAATTAATTAGCTTCTTAAAAAAAGAAGAGGCTAATTCCGTGCGGTTGGGTGTGCAAGAGAAAAAATTATTTTATACGGACACCGTATACAAAAATGTATAGTGGCAAGAGAAAAAATTATTCTATACGGACACCGTATACAGAAATGCATAGTGGCCGATCTCCACCGTTCATCAGAGCAACAATGTATTTCGGTGAGCATCATTTTTATTTTTTTTTAAGAAAAAAATTGATAGACGGTGGAGATCGGATAACTTATTCATTTCTGCATACGGTGTCTGTATGGAATAATTTTTCGTGCAATAGGGTGTAATCGAGGTGTATTTGGGGTTTATTCGGGGTGTACATCTCTAATTCGTTCCTACGGTTAACTGCACGTAATATTTTCTTCGACTAACCACCAAATTTTCATGGATTATCAGATTTAGCCCTTTTTTTTTTTTTTTTTAATTCAATCTAACTTGACTTTAATCAACTCCAATTACTTCTCCCGTGTTTTACTAAATATTCTAATAAAATATTGTAATAAAAATGATTCTTGACTTTAAATTTTCAAGAACATAAAATAAAAGAAAAAACATTAAATTATATTGCCACATTAAAGAATATAAAAGTTTATTAAATATAATGACTCATTTCTAATTAAAATATAAAATTGATGCAATTAAACTTTAAAAAATAAAATAAATAACTAACTACTTAACTCAAATATGATACTTTTTTTTAAATACAATTCAAATGTATTAAAAAATCATTCTGTAATTTAATTTAGAAATATATAAATAAATTAATTAGACTAACAATTGTAAAATTTTATAGCTTGCTATCAAATATTGATCCGTATTCTGTATCAACTTTCCGCTCATTAAATCTATTTTAATATATATATATAAAATTGTTCGGTAAGTAAGAATGCATGCCACATATAAAAAGGCTTGTTTGGAGAGTAAGTTGAGCCGAATGAGCACGACTCAGCGCCGGACATGAGAAAATTTATCATAAAAATTAAATTTTTATAAAGAAAAATTAATCATCATAAAAATTTATTATATGATTTGAATGGTAGAAAATATTATCCATTGGATATAAAATTCTATCTCATAATAACTTTATCAAACATTCTTATATAAAAAATTTAAAAAAAAGTTTATTTATTTTAAAATAAATCGAATAATTTTATAATTCTTATAATTCTTAGGCAAAGAAAAGGAAAAAATAATAATGTAAACAAACATATCCGGTTCATAATAAAATACAAGATATTTCGTCATATCATCGATCCTTTCCTTAAAATAAAAAAAAATAAAAATAAAAATAAAAATAAAAATAAAAATAAAAAAGCTTTTACAGGAGGAGGAGGGAAACCAAATAAGCCATGAAGCACACAGTCAAGCCTTAAAGCATCTAGAGAAGTGAAGATGAAGCTGGCCATGTCCGGCGTTCTCGCGGTCTATTACACCCTGCACATGCCTGAAATCCTCCACGTGGCACGGAATCCTTATCGAACCCTTTTGCTCGAAGCCATACTCCTCCTCCGCCTCCTTGAGCAGCCCCGCGAAGAGAGGGTGGTTAACGTACTCCACGGGCACAACAAACCGCTGCATCTCCTCCCCCTTCCCACCTACTCTGAAAGCTATACATCCCTTCGGCGGCGCCGCCCCCTTCTTCCCTCCACCGCCGCCTCCCATGATCTCCTTCCGAAGGAAAAAAAAAAGGAATAGAAAGGAAGGAAGCCCTAGAGGAGAGAGAAAGGCCAGGGGTCGTCGGAGAGGGAGATGGAGATGATGAGGAGGAAGAGAGAGAAAGAAGAGTTGCAGAGGGAGATGGGGATGTTAGACATGGCTGTGGGAATGGATCGATGGTGAGGTCATAGAAGGCTGCGAGATTAGGGTGGGATTAATGGTGGGTTTATATAGGAAATTGTTTATGGAGAATTGGTCCAGTTGACCGCGGAAAATTAGGGAATTAAATTTTTTTTGTTATTATTTTTTAATTTATTTTAGTTTTCGGATGTGTGGTTACTGTCCAAGAATACGCCGTTGTACTCAATATCGATCAGGGTCCACATGCTAGGTGAGGAAGATCACAACTGGTTGAGGCTCGATTATATATATATATATATATATATATATATATAGATAATGGTCTAAAACTATTCAAGTCAACTTAGGCTTGGGTTCGAAAGTGTGGCTTCGTTCACCCAATCTTTTCTGAAAGTTGTGTAAGTAGAACTTAGACAACTTTTAGAAGAGATTGGGTGAACTTAGCCGCACTTTATGAGCTGTTCATCTATTATTGTTTCATCAAACAAAAATTTTTATAGCGGTCGACGTTCATTCTATTGAAACAGAAGTTCATCACCGGGTCAAATGAAACCTTAGTCTGCTAGTTGACAATCTATATAACTTTAATCAAGATACCTTGGATTCTTGTATATATGATGATGTTCGCGCATTATGATTAAATTCACTCAAATAATTTATAAATTATGAAAAATTGTGGTGAGCATAAATGTGACCCCAATATTATCAGAAATAAATGTTATTGCCTAAATCAATTTGGATTGGAATAAAGTTTGGCTAAATTATTGGGGAGGAGTATGCTTTAAATTTTTTTGATCTAGTTTAAATTTGATTTTTATGTAAAATATTTTGATTTTAAATCAAAGTAAATTTAAATAAATCTAGAAAGTGTTATTTTTAAGACTTACTTTTGATTTAATTCTAATATATTTAATTATCTTAAATAAATATATATCCTCAATACGATTTATTGGATTTTAATATGCAAATAAATTGATGCATTGTTGAATAAGGAAGGGCAAGTGGGGAGCCCCCATCAATTATTATTTCACATTTATACATAGACATTAGATTTTTTTTTATAAGAAAAAAAGTTAAATAAACCTAATTTAATATAAGATTATAGAGGTTCACTTTTCATTTTAATTAGAAAAATATAAGATTATAGATTAAAAAATAATGATAATTTGACATTGATGACGATTATGATGTATAATTTGAATTTTTTTTGTATCTCTTATGCTTTAAATTGAGCCTCAACTAATTGTGATATTCCCCAACTTGTGTGGGGGCTTCGTTCAATCTCCCAAGGGATGGGTTGGCTAGTAAGAGAGGAGATGATGAGGTATGTTGTGCTTGTGGAGCATGTTAGCCACCCGTTTTCTATTGGATTGCTCAAGGATTCTAGGGGGAGTAAAAAAATTATGTCCGCTAAATCAGATGTGGGGTCAATGATACAAATCACATCATGCCACCAAATATATGATATGATATGATACATTCCATTATTCGTTCATACAACGAGATAAAAGAAATTAATATTTTCTCATGTATGAGTTCTATAAGGACATCATGCCACATGGTGAATTTGGGTCCGTTTGAGGCGGCGGTGAGGCTACACTGCTGCACAATACTACAATTTTGTCTTTTTGGGTAAACTGAGTTTTGACAGCTTTTTAAAAAAGCTATTGTTGAAATATGTGTTTTCCTACAACCCCTAGTCATGTGCGGTGCAACTTTCTAGTTGTGATCTGACTTTAAGAAAAAAAAATTATAATAATTACCGCGACTCTTCTAGCATCAAATTAATAGCAGCTTCAGAGCTACTTTTTAATAAGTTACAGCTACCCCAAAGAGAATTTTATATTGCATCCGGATATTATAAATAAATTTACGTCTAGTGTTCAATTAAAAAGGTTAAAAAATTCGAGTGATCCCACTCTAAAAAAAAAAGTATTGAATGAGTTTTAATTGCACAACAGAGAATAAAACCTCCCCCAAAGAGGCCCTTAAGGCATGCACGATAGGCCTGTCAATTTGGCTCGTTGTTCGTGAACAGCTCGTGTTCGGCTCGTTAAGCAGCTTGTGTTCGGCTCGTTAACGAACGAGCCGAACACGAACAATTTTTTAAGCTCGAAATGTAAATGAGTCGAACACGAACAATAATTTGTTCGCTCGTGTTCTGCTCGAAATGACTCGAAAAAAAAAATTATATAACTTTTTATATAATAATATAT